GATGTGTAATCCTATGAAATATTTTCTATGTAAGAACAAGTTTTTAATTTGGATTTTATGAACTTTTATTTGTTATATAGATGTGCAATACTATGAAATATTTTTTAGTTGAGAATATGTTTCTTTTGTAATGTATGTATGCATACTTGTTTAGTGTTTGTTTAAATATGGAGAAATAACAACATTCACTTTATATACTAGATGTATTTATTTGAAGTTTTCTGCATGTAGTGGCTCTTTTCCCAGTTCAAATATGGTGAAAACGCCAGTACTGCCGACATCCAAAGAATTTACAAGGTGAAGATCGAGAACCCGGAAGTGACATCATTGCGTATGACATCATAATCAGGTGACCGGACGGAGAGTCACGTGGTGCAGATGTTCGGGGGACCCGGAAGTTAAGACGGATGCCGGCAAAACAGCGCCAAATTCAACGATAGAAGTACTATTTAAAAGAGAGAAGACCAGCATTTACCACACACTTTGACAAAGACCTGGAGGTCGAAACGCGTTAGTGCTGTGGACTTTTTATTTTTCATGCTATTTTAAGCTTATTTCTGTTTCCTGTATTTTATTTAGTAAAGTTTTAATTTGCTCTTTACTAATTGGATATCCTGGAAATCATTGAAGGGCTGGAAAGAAGCTATCCTGTCTAGGAATCTGAAAGCCAGAATAAGCTAATTATTCACCTGCCACTGAAGTCAGAGCCAGCTTTATGTGGCTCTGCATATTGTGAGTGACCCAATGACTTTGATTGATTAATGTTCCTTACATAACAGTATTACCCTATGTATGTGTTTTTATTGTAGGGAAATCAGGAGGTGTTTCACTCATTATATTAAGTATACAGGATTTTTGTATATTTCCTCTGCAACCCCCCCTTATATCCTTTTCTTTCACTTCATATCTGAGTGCCATTTAGTGATTTTGGGCACTGGGGGTAGTTGCTTATTGTTTGGTTTTAAGCGCCAATTCCCAATTCTTTTGTTGTGTTTGCATTATAGTAACAAGCATGAACATTGCCGGCTAGGCAATGGGGGTATAGGACGCCTAGCCGGCAATGTTCATGCTTGTTACTAGCATTTCTACTCTTACACAGTAGCCTCTTTCTGCAGAAGAGTTTAGCTAGCTAACTGTGAAAATTGCCTCCCAGTGCAGTACTATTGTGAAATAGAGATATATTTATGTATTCTTTCACCTCTCAGTCCTGACAACTACCAGAAATAAGTTTATTTTATTATTTTCTTATTTCTCCCTTTCTTGATTTATGTGCTGTCATAGCAATACTTACCTAATGTATGGACTGATTATCTCGGTTTTCATGTAACCTTTATTTTTTTATCACTATTATTTTACTAAACATTTATTAAAAGTTAAGTTTTACAATTTGATAATTTATCATATTACAAAAATTCACTAATAGTCAAGTCTTAAAATTTATATTTGGTGACAATTGACACTATCAAGACAACTACTGGTAGCTCTTTGTTTATTTTTTTTTTTCTTCCACTTTACTTTCAACCATTTAGGGGTTACCCTCCATTGTTTTGCATTTTCTACCAGTACTTAATATTATTAGGCTCTATTTTTCTTTTATGTAAATGCCATTAACCACATTTTTATAAGCAGATGAATATGTGACACTCCCCCTCCTTCTACCACCTTGTCCGCCACAAACTTTGCATCTCTAATTTCTCTCCTTCCCCTACCAATACATCACCCACCCCCACTCCCTCCACCATTCTACACTCATGCACAACTGCTACAGCAAAAGAGGTTTCTGCTCTGCTCCGGTCCACCCAAGCAACCACCTGTTCCCTCAGTCCTATTTCCTCATATCTCATTGGCACTTTGTCTCCCTCTCTTGCTCTTCCTCTCACTAAAACTTTCAATCTCTCCTTTCCTATGGCACATTTCCCTCACCCTTCAAACATGCAACTGTAACCCCAATTCTGAAAAAGCCCAGCCTTGACCCCAACTCCCCATCCAACTATTGCCCTATCTTGCTACTGCCATTTGCCTCCAAGATCCTCGAGAGAGTTGTGTACACCAGACTGACTTTCTCAAATCCGAATCTCTGCTTGACCCCCTTCAGTCTGGATTCCGCACTGATCATTCTGTTGAAACGGCTGTGACCAAAGTATCCAACAAATTGATTCCTGCCAAATCTTGTGGCCATTATTCTATCCTAATTCTCCTTGACCTTTCTGCTGTCTTTGACACTGTTGATCATCAACAGCTTCTCCGCAATCTCCATAATTTTGGTCTACGGGATACTGCTTTCTCCTGGTGCTCCTCCTACCTCTCCCAGCGCTCTTTCAGTGTTTCTTTCTCTGACTCTGACTCTTCCTCCCAACCACTCTCTGTTGCCGTCCCCCAAGGTTCTGTCCTTGGTCCCCTACTGTTCTCAATCTATATCTCCTCCCTTGGTAAATTCATCAGCTATTTTGGCTTCCGTTATCATTTCTATGCAGATGACACGCAAATCTACCTGTCCACTCCTGATCTCTGTCCACCCATCTTGACTCGTGTCTCTGACTGCATCTCTGTAATTTCCTTCCACAAGTGTTAACACTCCCGTGTCTGTCTGTCTCCAAGTCAACAGCGATACCATCACCTCTACCTCACAGGCTCGCTCCCTAGGTGTTCTTTTTGACTCCAACCTCTCCTTCACCCCTCATGTCCAATCAATCACCAAATCCTGTCGCTTGCATCTAAATAAAATAGCGCACATCAGCCCCTGCATAATGCTGCTCTAACCTACTTATCCTCCCTAATACACAAGTATGTCCTGTTGAGGCCCCTATGCTCTGCCAAAGACCTTGGTATATCCTCTGTCCATACTCCCACCTCTAATGTTCGCCTCCAAGATTTCTCCAGGGCTGCACCTCCTCTGTGGAACTCCCTTCCCTTCTCTGTAAGACTTTCACCCAGTCTCCACTCATTCAAAAAAATCATTGAAAAATCACTTCTTCAAGAAAGCATAACAATTAAACTGTTAGCAGGTTTTTATCCCCCACCCCCCATGACTACTCTCCTGCAACTGTCAAAAATTACCTACTAAGCCCTCAGTGACTACTTTTCTAACAACCTACTTTGTACCCCTACTTTTACCCTTTGTATCACTATACCCCACTCCCTCTAGAATGTAAGCTCATTGAGCGGGGTCCACCACCTCTCTGTTCCTGTACGTCCAGTTGTCTGGTTACAATTGTATGTCTGTTAGTCCACCCATTGTACAGCACTACAGAATCTGATAGAACTATATAAATAATAAAATAATAATAAAAAATAATAATAACATTGGCTGTGTGTTGAGTTATTTTGATGTGACAGCATATTTACACTGTTATACAGGCTGTACACTTACTACTTTACATTGTAACAGAGTGTAATTTATTCAGTGTTGTCACATGCAAAGATACAATAAAATAGTTACAAAAATGTGAGGGGTGTACTCACTTTTGCGAGATACTGTAAATATCGGATGTGACATGAAAGCTCCTAAACAAAATTATATATAATAAGTGTGGGTGCATTTTATATGAAAGAGGTGAATTATGGTTGAACAGACGGTGCAAATTTACGGTTTTGTTTACATTACTTGTACAATTGCCTCCATCCTTAATGGGTTAGTAAATGTTTTGAAAAAATGTTTATTTGATATAAACAGTGTTATTATAAAAAATTGTCATTTGATAATGTATAACATAATATTATTCCCGTTTTTCGTCCCCTATTATTAGGTATTTTACAATTTAATATATGATGTATTATTGTATTATTGTGTTAGCTGTCTAAATAGATTGCAGATTATCTTATCTAGGAAAGTACATGTGCCATAGATTTAGATGGTGAAACTGCACTGATCATTATGTAGGGCAGACTATTTTAAGATATGCCCTTATGGCAGTGTGTGTATATATTTTATAGAAATATATCTAGGAAGGCTTGGCCTGAAGTTGAGGGAGGGGTGTATGGACCTTTAAAAAGGGACTACCCCGCCCTCCCTTCCCTACCCTACTGTGATTGGTCTGCAGAGCTGCTACCCCACCCTCTATTCAACATACTTTTCTAACGTAAGCCCACTTTATTTACCGGTCTACAGAATAAGTCGGTTTCGGCACACCTCAACCGACTTTTTCCTATCACAGGTTTGCGAACAACAATTCACCATATTTTCTAATGTAGGCCCACTTTATTTACGGGCCTACAGCATACGTCGGTTTCGGCACACCTCAACTGACTTTTTCCTATCACAGGTTTGTTAACAACAATCTTATTGCATATCATTTTCCATGTAGCCCCGAACACAAATATATATATATATATATATATACACACACATACTTTTTTTATATTTTATTACTAAGTGTTTTAACGCTTTATTTCAGGCATCGGGTGGACTGCCTGACATTTGCATTTGTTCCGTTATTCCGTCCATGTGATCGCGACGTCATCGCAATTACAAGGTCTGAGAAGGCCAGATTAGTCACAGGGGGACTGCCTGGGATGCCTGGCAAGTCCCCCCTTATGGTTGATGGCAGGGGAATGGCAGCGATACGGTAAGTACTAAGGACAACGTGGAAATACTATGCCGCCAGACGGCTTTTAGGATCGAGTCCATAAGGACGGCATAGTACATCCACCATCCTTAAGGGCTTAACAATCAGATTACAGGGTTTTAAAGTGGGCAACTTATTTTCTCACAATGAATATGTTTAATTCACTTTAAAACTGTTGCACTATTGAAGCTAAAACGTCAACCTTAAATTGTGATACCACTATTTCTCAGTGTCATTATTGCATTGTTTATATCATCGTGAGAAAGTCAAACAGCATGTGAACTTGGTACTTTGTAAATATCATCGAGTTAATTTAATTCCTATAAATGTTAGATTTAATCTCATGTCTATATGATTATTTGAATTTCCCATAATTATTTGAACGGTTGAACATATAAATGTATTAAGTAGAGACCCCTATCACATTGTGCTGTAGAACTCCAGGATGGATCCCAGCTCTCCTAAATATTATCTTGAGGATAATTTTGATCCAAATGACTTATATGACATTTATGTCGGTGCCACAGCAGATAAAAAGCACATGGATGAGCTTTTATTATTCCCTCTGAAGGTAATTTTCAGTGAGGTAAAATCAGGTATGTTTTTATTTCTGGTTTACAATCTTTATTTTGTGATCTCACAATTGTAATACACACAAACATTGGCTTTGCAGGTTACCATTATAGACGCTTAGGTGCACCATTTTTCAAGGTGTGTATAGCTATAAAATCCCTACATTTAGTAACATTGCGGCAGCAACATCTTGGAGATACATGTTAACTACAAGTTAACTGGAAAACTTAGAACATTCTGCATAGCAGTGACATGCTAAATGTGCTTGGACTATCCGGATAGGCATAACCATAATAGCAGAGATAATAATATACATTAACTCACAAAAGTGAGTACACCCCTCACATTTTTGTAAATATTTTATTATATCTTTTTATGTGACAACACCGAAAAAAAATGACACTCTGTTACAATGTAAAGTTAGTAAGTGTACAGCCTGTATAACAGTGTCAATTTGCTGTCCCCCTCAAAATAACTCAACACACAGCCATTAAGTGGAAATGGCCACTGTGTGGCCACCATTATTTTCCAGCACTGCCTTAACCCTCATGGGCATGGAGTTCACCAGAGCTTCAAAGATTGCCACTTGAGTACTCTTCCACTCCTCCATGATGACATCACTGAGCTGGGGAATGTTAGAGACCTTGCACTTTTCCACCTTCCCTTTGAGGATGCCCCACAGATGCTCAATAACAGGCATAGGTTGTACCATTCCCACCAAGGATATAGATGTTCAGGAAATCAAGTAGAAAAACTGGTCCAATAAAATAAGTGATTTTATTGCTAAAGAAACATAAAAATAGAGTAAAAAAGCTAAATAAAACCATTTTAAAATAAATGTTACACATTTTACCATAAAAAAAGGCAGTGTTCCCCAACCCAGTCCTCAGAGACCACTAATAGTCCAGGATTTATGTAATTCCCTGTATTATTCCAATGGGGATACTGACAAAACCTGGACTGTTGGTGGTCCCTGAGGACTGGTTTGTGGAACACTGCTCTAGATAAAGCCTTTTTATTGTAAAATGTGTCCAGCGTATTTTAAAATGGTTTTACTTAGCTATTTTACTCTGGGGAACACTGGTCTAGAGTGTTTACAGAGGAAGGGACCTATGCTGCTTTAACCCTTAAGGACAGAGCTTGCGAAGCTGGTCTTTCACTTAATGACAATAGCCTTTTTTTAACATTTTTGCTGTTTGTGTTCAACCGCAATTTGCATTTTACTAATTTATTGCACCGACACATATTACATATTGTTTTTTAAAGGACAGAAAGGGCTTTAATTTGATGTAACACACACACACACACACATATATAAATGCTTATTTATTATAACAAAATACAGAAAAATGCAAAAAAAATGAAAATTTGTGGGGTTTTTTTTACAGTTTTTGCAATTATAATGTGTGCATAATTAGTGCAGGTTAAGAAAAGTAATTAAAAATAAATTAATTTAGTTGTTCTGATTTACAGAATATATAATGTGTCTGGGATTTTAAGTTTTTTTTGGTAGTTACAGGTCACAAAGCAAAAGGAGTAAAATAAACTTTTAATGTGGAGCGATTTTAGAATTTGGTGTGTTTGTCTTGTAAGCTTAATAACCATAAAAGAAAAACAAAATTGCCACACAAAAGTATATATTTATATAAAGCAGACATCACTTTCTACATAGTCATTTCACTGCCAACCTCTGCTAAATATTGGAGTAAAATTGTGTTTTTGGCACACAAACTTATAACAAAGAAATTCTCATATGTATTTTGTAAAGTTGGTGTGTGCTATTCCTGTACAAAGTTTTATTTTGTGTTCAGTTACATCTGCTGAGTAAAATGACACCACCATTGTATGTCTTTCACACTATTTTGTGAAGTTACAGTGCCATATAGGAGGCCTGTTCTTTTCAGTATTCACAGTAGAATTTTGAGAGACGAAATTAATGAGCCTATGCTTCCATTTGGGGTATTATAACAGTTTGACTGTTCAAAAAAGCCCACAAAGGCCTACCATTTGTAAAATTAGACACTCCAGGGTATCTCATAAGGTGCTTATTGTGCCTTAACATGCCCCCATTTTTTCACCAATATATGCTAAAGTATGTGTTAAAAAATAATTGTGTGCATTATATATGGATTGAATTTTTGCTAGGCATTTTGTACATTTCACATGTGCCACTAAGTTCAAACCCCCCAAATTATGCTCGGCTAAGGCGAACTTTAAATTTAGGCTGGGCCTATGTGCAATTTCCAAGCATCTTAGCAGGGTTTAAATTCAAACTACCCCACAAAGGCTTACCATTTCTTAAAGTAGACACCCCAGGGTATTTCAAAAGGTATATTTTGAACCTTAACATGGGATCATTTTTCTGCTAGCTTGTACCAAGTGTAGTGGTAATAAGTGGGGTTTTTTTGACACACAAAGTGAGTTTGCACAGTATATTTTGCAAACCTTATGTGTGCTATACCAACGTATGTACCTTTGCCAGGTATATGTGGATGTTGAAGGGGTGCATTTGAGACGCAGCCATTCAGTTTTTTGTAACTTTGAAGTTTTACGCTGTGTCCATGTTCCAATTTGGAGTAGTTTAGACGGTTGGTTATTGAAACTTACCCACAAACACATACTATTTATTGAAGAATACACCCTGGGGTAATTCAAAAGGCATATTTTGAACCTTGGGATCATTTTTTCTCTAGTTTGTTCCAGGTGTAGTGGTAATGAGCATTTTAAGTGTATTTTTTACTTTCTGAAACTTTTTTTACTTTTAAAAACTAGTTTTTAAACTTTTGTTTTGCTTATTCATTTTTTTTAAACTTTTCTAAACTTTCTTAAAACTTTATTTACAGATTTAGCATTTTTCTAAGCTTTTTTTTACCATTAACCCCTAACTAGCAGTAAGCAGTACTAACAGTAAATTCCCCATTTTCCCATAACTCCCACCCACCCCAGCTAGCAAAATATATAATCGTAAAATATTTAAATTAGTTAATTAAATAAATTGAACCCCTGAGGGTTAAAAAATAAATAAAAAGTTAATCCTCAGGGGTTAAAAAAAATAGGATAATACTGCGATCTGTATTTTGATCACTGTAGGCAGTGATCGACTGGCAGGCAAGGGGTTAATTTTTATTTGGACTGGGTAAAGGTTTTTTTTTTTACTTAAACGTTATTAAAACTTTTAGCTTAATTTTTAACTTTTTAAAGTTTATTTTAAAACTTTTTTTAACGTTAACCCCTAGTTAGCCTAAAACCAAATCCCCCAATTCCCCACTAACTTCCATCCACCCCAGCTAGCTAAATATATAATTTTAAAATGTTTTAATTAAATAAGTTTAACCCCTGAGGGTTAAAAAAAATAATCAGATGATAGTAAAATGTAATCCCTGCCAATTGGTCAGTGATCAATTGGCAGGGAAGGGGTTAATTTTTAATTAAAATGAGTAAAGGGGGGTGGGATTTCAAATAAACTTTATTTTTATTTTTTTAACAGAGGGCAGGATCAGCACTGATCCGTCTCCCTGTACTTCAAACAGAACCAGGAAGTGCAGGGAGGCAGAAAGTGAGTATATGCAGCACATGTGCTCGCTCTGAAAGGCTGTCAGAGCAAGCACATGTGCTGGGGTAGCCTGATTGGGTGCTCCCAATCTGCCACTAATACAGAGGCAGACTGGAGCACCATTAACCCCGCGATCGCGGCGATCCAGGGTTAATTTTAACACGTGACGGACACTATAGTTGTTAAGGGGTTAAACGGACACTGTAGTCACCAGAACAACTACAGCTTATTGAATTTGCTCTGGTGAGTAGAATCATTACCTTCAGGCTTTTTGCTGTAAACACTGTCTTTTCAGAGAAAATGCAGTGTTCGCATTACAGCCTAGTGATAACTTCACTGGCCACTCCTTAGATGGCTGTTAGATATCCTTCCTGGGTCATGGCTGCCTAAAATGCTGTTAGGGCTTACCTGAGTTGGGAGTCCAGCAGGCAGAGATATATGCTCACCCTTGCAAGTAAACACAGGCCGAGGTGGTCAGGTAAGAATTCACCTGGCCTGTGAGTCGGTGTACAGTGGCTGTGCAGGATTATTCTCCGAGTTGCAGTACAGGAATGGATAAAGCAAGAGAATAGTTGTGGGAAGCCAAAGGTCAGAGAATGCCAGAAATCAGAATAAACAAAACAACAAGTCAAGGTCAGGAGCAAACTGGAGCACACGAAACAGCAATACAGACACCAGAGTCAAGGAACTGACCCTGCCTTCTGGGAGAGGCAGGGTTATATACCTGGCTAATCAAACCATCAATATTAGGTGTACCAGGAAAAACTCCAATACATGTTCAGCCTTCATACCGAAGCTGAATAGTGACTTAGCGGTAGCATCACAGCCAAAGGACTGCAAGGTACCCAGGTTCAAATCCACTACTGGGTGCTCCTGGCGTGACACTGTTTGGCACTCTGGAAGTTGCGGTGAGAACCATGACAAATGCATCCAAAAATTCAGTGTCTCCTCCCTCTGCATGCAGACACTGAATTTTCCTCATAGAGATTCATTGATTCAATTCATCTCTATGAGGAGATGCTGATTGGCCAGGGCTGTGTTTGAATCATGCTGGATCTGCCTCCTTGTCAGTCTCAGCCAATCCTATGGGGAAGCAATGTGATTGGATCAGGCCACCACTTCTAATGATGTCAGCAGATTTATTGTTCCTTTTTTGAGGCAAACAGCATGCATATCTACAGCTTCAGGCTTGAATACAGTAAGACTTTGCTATATTTATGGAGACATGAGGGGCCCAGAGGAGCTAGAAGGTGGTTTTAACAATATAGGATCAGGAATACATGTTTGAGTTCCTGACCCTATTCTATGCCACACACATGGCAACACAACCAGCCCTCTCCACTCACATACTGCACTGCAAATAGCCCATTCACACACGCAAAAATCCACAAGGAGCCTCACTGTATAGACACAATCTCACCTCAGCCCCCCACTGTACCTACCTTAGCCCCCCTGTACCCACCTCAGTGCCCTCTGCTTCCACCTCAGTCTCCCTCTGTACCAACCTCAGCCCCCCTTTACTACCACCTCAGCTCCCACCTCAGCCCCCCTCTGTACCCACCTCAACTACCTAGGTGTACTCCCACCTCAGCCTCCCAGTTCCTACTCAGCCCTCAAAAACCACCTCTGTCCCCATGCCTCCAAGTGCCCACCACAGCCCCCCTGCACCCCCATGCCTCCAAGTGCCCACCACAGCCTCCCTGCACCTACTTCAGCATCTATCCTTCCACACACTCACTACAGCCACTATCCTACTTCTACACAGTAGAGCCTCTATTATCCAAACACGCGCACACTACAGCCCCAGTAACCACCAAATGCCTACTACAGATTCTATCCCACACACATGGCAACACAACCAGCCTTCTCCACTCACATACTGAAGTCTTCTCCACTCACATATAGAAATTTTATAAAAATAATACAAGTAAAGTGCAAACACTATATAGGGCATGCAAATGAAGAATGACATACCTATTGTACATATTCAAATTGAAAGATAAGTGCTCAGTGACATAACCCAAATAACAATAATAACATAGGCATACTAACCCAGAGCAGGAGATACAGCAACCCCGAATTTTCGGCAATCGCCTTCCTCGAGGGGGATTTAAAACTTTATGGTTCCTGGTTCCTATTTATATCCCATTAATGAAACAAAAAATATAGGGTAATCATTGCCTAATAATTTGCTGGAGTGTAAGGGGTGTCGGGAGTGAAACCAATAGGTCTATTTCACATGTAGGAAGACTTCCAGGTTTTCAAAGACGTCATCACATATGCACGTCGTCTGACATCATCATATATATATATATATATATATATATATATATTTATTTGTGTAAGGGCCAAATAGCCGTATATGGAGTAAGGTTCCAGTATAAGCGTAGGATAGTATAAAAGAGCAAGTCGTTTGTGGTGTGCCGAGACCGACGATACGATAGGCCTGTAAATAAAGAGAGCCCACCAAGGAGTAAGACAAGTAAAGAAATAGAAAGAAAAAGAAAAGTGTTGAGAATGAGGAGTGGATGGGAGGGTCATTCAGAAGCTGACCTCGAGCGGTATGGAGCCAGGTAAGTGAATTAACATAAGCCCCTCCCACAATTACAGGACAAATGGCCTTAACACTTGTGTAAGGGGCAAATAGCCGTATATGGAGTAAGGTTCCAGTATAAGCGTAGGATAGCATAAAAGAGCAAGTCGGTTGTGGTGTGCCGAGACCAACGATACAGTAGGCCTGTAAATAAAGAGGGTAAAAAGTGAATAACCAAATATTTAATACAGAGGGAATGAGGAAGTTGATACTTGGGGTAGCAGAGGTGTGAGGTGCAGATAAGTATATGGTTAGTCTGTGTTTAAGGGAAGAGTTCCCTGTGACAATCCCACTGGTTTGTGTGCCATGCTGTATATGGTGGAGATTGGGAAAGCCCAAGTAGAAACCCCTCTGCAATGCTTGGGCTATGAGTGTGTTTACAGCCGTTGGGTTCTGTTGTGCTGACTGCAAGTAAGGGAATTCTAGATTCCCTGAAGGTATATGTATGATACCTGTATGGGAACCCTCTGAAAATCCAGAGCTTAGTAAATCTACTAAAAGTCTGGAAGAGTGATGAGTCAGTAGTGTTGAAAATGCATGATGTTTACAGACTTTCAGTATGTTTTTTTTTTACTTTGTGTTGGGACACATGGTTTGTCATGTGCCCTGAACCATTTGACAGTCTATATGCACTGCAACTATACATACCAATATAAAATTGTTGAAAATCTGTGATTTGCTGAAAAGAAAATGGGACGACCCAATTTGTCTCTGGAAGTTCGCTCCGTTGTACCTGAGGTGTTGATACCTGGAGCCTCATAGTGATCGTCTGTTTGATTGGGAGAAAAGTTTGTTTTGGGTATGAAAGAGTTAAGGTACATGCACAAATAACATCTCTATATATGCCAAATGTCAAAACAACTCAGGGATGGTCAGATTCCGTTTACCTGGAATCCCTGGATCTGACCCCCACACATACATCATCATACATATATATGCTTTGTTTCCCATTGTGCTGGGATCATATGTGCAGGGTTAACGTCCCGAGTGTCATAAGAATTGATTGTACCAGGTAACCGAGTTTCGGTTGGTGTTGGTTGTATGGTAGCGGGAGGCCCAGTTCATGAATGAGGTTAGCATGGCCTGGTTTCACCTGAGTTGGTGTTGCTAAGCCTCTGCGTGAAGGTGTATCGATTCTAGCCAAGGTGCTAGGAAGAGAATTCTTTGCCCCCTTCTTGAAAAAATAACAATAAAGATTGCAATTATTGTTTGTACCCATGGGTCTTGTACTGGCTTGCTAGCTAAACCGTGAGACAAAACAATTAGGCTTGGTGTTTTTGGTGACTGGTGAGGCCCTGCTAGCTGCCAAGTGGCTTGAGAGGCTCTATGTGTTAGCACAAGGGTTTTTTTGTGGCCACCAAACATAGTGGCAGGATGTTGGCCTCTCTGTGACAGTAACCAGAAAATAGGAAAGGGAGTGACAGGTGAGGCCCTCTCTATGATACGATGCAAGGTGGCTAGCTCACGAGTGGCCCGAGGGGTGTATGCCTCCAAGTGTGAGGCGGGGTGTTGGCCTCTCGGGACCACTAATCTGAAGCATAGTGCAGAAAGAGAGAGGGGTAATACCTATTGGCCCCTATCATCCTAATTGCCAGTACGCTATTTCTATTCCGGGGTAGATAAGGTATGTATATACCGTGTAAGCAGGTGTATGTACCTGAAAGTATGGTTTTGAAACCTGAGAATCTGTATAGGTTTCAGTAGTACCTGTAAACTAAATAGATGGAGACCGTATGAAATAAAGAAAATCTGGCACAAAACCAATTATGGTTGGCTGTTGACCTGTAGAGGTAAGTGGAGATAATGTTTGTAAAATCTCCGTAAATGTATTAATGTACTTGCAGGCCTGTAGGTGGCAGTGTTGGTAGTCCCCAGTTGGTCTTGGTGTAGTATAATATTTAAACATTAAACATGCAATTGGGCCCGTACTGAGTCTGCTTAGGCAAAATGTTTGTAGCATGGTGGACGTACTACAGTATTTAACATGAGTCCTGAGTTAAAATTCTATGTGGTGCCCATATGTGATTGATCTAGGCAATATATATATATATATATATATATATATATATAAACCCGCAGTTTCCGTAAGGCTTGTACTATTATTATAGGGGGTTAATGTATTTGTGATAGGTGATCATAGTATGTATTATATATGAAATAGATTACCGGGTATTTATGTATAAAATAACTGGCTACTGTATGATAATAAATGTGTCCGTTTATTATTAGTAGTGTATGGCTTGATAAGTAAAAAATTGTGTTTTGGTTGTTGACCTATAGGGGTCAGTGCTTTTGAAAACCCCAAAATTGACATTATATAGAGTGGTCTGTAGATGGCAGTGTATTTCAAACCCTGAGGGTTCCCCCCTCATTGGTGCGGTTTAAAACCGCCCAAACGGCAAATGCCTGATGTACACTAATACATGAAAAGATTACCATATGGGAGTATGCAAATGCCTGGCAGCCAAGATACAAGTAGAGGCGAATGATTGTAAAACCACTCGGGAGTACAAACAAGTGTTATACAATAAATAAACACATAGACTCAGTTTGTGCGGTTGGACTGCACGAACGGAGGAGTCATACAAATAACGATTTAAGCTGGTTCTCGTTCGGGACTATGCGAAAGGTCGTGCAAGCAAGGTACATGGAACATGCATGGTAATGTTAGAAACGAAACGAAAAGTGCACGAACGGTTTGCATAGAGAGTCGGTTTGTAGCAAAACCGAAGATGACCGTAAAGTGAGGACCTGGCCCATAAATGATGCCGTGGGACTGTTGCCCGGCGTAACGGGTAGGTCAACTCACGGTTTGCGGGTCACTAGTACGTTATATGCGGCGATGGAAAGAAGCAAGAAGCTGGTCGGACGGAAAAGCCTGCGGCAGAATTCCTGGACAAAGCTTAGCGTGGAAGACCTCTTGGGAAAGCAAAAAGGTATCCCACAATGGCGACTGGATGAACCGGAAGTTCATTCAGAAGCTGACCTCAAACGGTATGGAGCCAGGTAAGGGGTGTACCTTATATAGGTAAGTGAATTAACTTAAGGCCCTCCCACAATTACAGGACAAATGGCCTTAATACATATAGAATGTGTTACTATGGTAACTAGAGTAATACACTGAACTGCAGATGGAGAATCTAAGCGCTATGTGGTAGAATACAGACACCACTAAATTTAGTCTACATTATTTATCCAAGGAAACCCTATGCACATCATGTATAATACTTTTATGTGCTATTAAAGCTTACAAGAATTCTTGTGTGTGTGTAACCCCTTCACCGCTGCAAATAAAAATAGTGTATAGACACTTGAAATTGAGATCTCACCTAATTGTACACAGCACATATTCAGCCTTAATTTAGTTATAACATTAAAATCCTACAATGAGCACAACCCAGCATATATAATACTCATTAATTATCACAGAGAATCAAGAAATAGAAAAAATGCATGTAGATACTTTACATTTCATATTGATTTCAAAACCAAACATAGACATATAACATATCAAAAATACATATCGAGTAATTGCTGTTTGCCCCTTACAAGCCCTTAGCTTTGTCACGGGTGACGGTCCAAAGATCAGGGCCTGGTGCAGGGTAACCACACGCCCCCTGGTGTTGAGCACCAGTGTTTGTGCAGCCACATACCAGGGCCCTGATGCAGTAAGGAGCAGAGGAAATGAGATCATTGCTTGCAGTGACAAACTGAAACAAAAAGGATTAATGGCAAAGGAATGGGCGTGGCAACAAAAAAAAAACACTTAAAGGAATCCAGGAGACTGGGAATTCCAGGAACAGAATAAAGGAATGAACCCAGAATACCCAGCATAAAGAAACAGACATAGGATAGAAAACCAGAAAAACCAAGAAAGAGTACTGGATACCAGAAGTCAAGGCCAGACATTTGTGTAGAAAGGGAACAGGACGTGACAGGCTTAACCTTAACCCAGACCATTGGTTACTTACTAAGGTAAGTTGCACAATGCACAGACTGCATGACTCACAAAGCAGATCCATAGAAGCAAGAGGAGCCATCCAGGGTGTCTCTCATACACTTAGGAGTCACTTGAGTTCCACAATTTCTCCTCATATGTGGTCTAAACTGGACTATTTATATCCCCATATCATATCAATATAAAACTAGTTACATTTAATGTTTAGGGGTTAAATTCCCCCTGGAAATGAAACTACTCTTTGTGATCTAAAGAAACACAACATGGATATAGTGTGTGTCCAAGAAAGGGAATTTTTAGAGAGGTCTACACTTCTGCTTGCTCCCAGCCAGAAGTGTAGACCTGCACTAGCAGCTCACCAAACTAACTGGGAATTCACTGGACCACTCAGGAAGGAAATTATTGCTGCCAGCTATTTCATTAATACCATCAAATGTTTAATATATTATTTTTCCTCCATTTACGCATACAAAATTTTTGATTGTGTATTTCTTATATTTATATTTTTATATTGTATATTTATATTGTACTTGCATGTTAGATGTTCATACTACTTTACCCTTTGTTATGTGGATGTGTTAAGTGTATCTAGTTTAGAGATCTTGCACTATATGGGACTAAAATATTTTTTTATATATTTTTTTCTTTTCTCTCTCTCCCCTCTGAATATTAGCTCCTGTTTTCTTAGTTTTTTTAAATTCTGTTTTTCAGTGATATACAATTTGAGTATTCTGTTTGCTTAAAAATTTGTGACCCCTTTTTTCTAGTTTTCAGCTTTATTCAGTTTTTATTCTCTTACTCCCTCTACATTACATTACTACATTACACTAATATTTATTTGGGTGTTTGCTTTGTTAATCTCTATTGTTTTTATTTCCAACTTTGCTATTTATAGTCTTATTCTTCTCCAGGTCGCATCAAAGGAAGCACCTTGATTGATATTTCTTTTGGCCCCTTTATTTTCCACTTGTTACCACTTTGTAAATATTTTAAAGACATCACTGTTCTAGAGTTTAATGAACCCTGTCTAAAGGTGCTGCAGAAATGGCTGAATAAAGACGAAGATGCTTTGGATTGGTCTCATGCTGCAAAGATTGCTGCCGAACTTGAAGGAAACAGGTGCGTCATCTTTTCATCCAGTGTATATCTGTGGGAGAATAATAATTTCAAGTAGCATTTATGGCAATGAAATGATAGTGTTTGATGAATGTAGGTAGTAATATATATAAGAACCAAGACAAGAGAAGACGAATAACTTGTAAGGCCCTTGTTATGTCACAAGTTATATCTTAAAACATATTTACTCTTTCAAATATATATTTGGCTTAATTCACAATAAAGCGAGTACACTCTGCAGGAATTGTCCACATACCCATGACTTACTAATAAATACAGTATACTCTTAGCATAGGATTAATTGTATTTGAAAAAAGTTTGTTTAACTATTACCAATATACATCATTTATTAAAATAATAACATGTAGTCTAACTTCCATTTATTTCTGTAACAAATAAAATGTATTTTATTTTTACTTTTGCAATAAAATTCCATTTTAAAATGCACTATTAATTATTAGTATTTTACAATGTAAATTAAATACTTTTAATATCGTCTTTAAGCACTACAACCTCATGATATTTACTCCATTAGTATTTCATTACCGAAGTATGTATCGACTCTAATTGCCAAAATATTTTCTTTCCTTAGAATATATTTATATACATTTTTACCACATGCCATCAAATTGTGTTATTATATTTTACAGTGAGAATTGGGTTGAAAAGGAAGAGGATCTGAGAAGATGTATTAAAACCATTTTGCCGTGTGATTTTAACAAGCAAAACCCAACTGACCCTGTTGTGCTGGCAAAAGCAGATTGTGTGATTAATTTGTATGTGCTGGGTAAAATTTCAAAAGACTCAGACAGTTACCGTCAAAATCTAAAGATAATGTCATCTATGCTTAAATTAGGAGGGCGTCTTTTATTGATTGGGGCATTTAAAGCATCACATTATAAGGTCAGCGGGGAAAAATATCATGTCTTAAATTTTAATGAAGAGGAACTAAGAACAATGCTGAAAGATTGTGGTTTTAATATTGAACGAATGGAAGTGATGGAAAGCAAAATACGTAGTGATGTTATATATTATCATCAGATGTTTTATGTTTGTGCTGTCAAAATCAAAGAACTTTAAAACCATTCATCTGTAAATAGTTGCCTATCAAAAATGTTCTATGAGGATGTTTGAAGAATTTACCTTCATAGTTCAAACTGGATAAATCAAATTGTATTTCTTTGCATCACAGTAAAATAATATTGCATTGTTGCATTGCTCTTATGTAATAAACAATAAAAATAAAGTTAATGTGATTATTAATGGCATATTGAATTATATTGTGATATATTCATCAATTCATGTATCTCAAGAGAAGAATAGATACGTAGCATATTTATTATTAGACTACTGTACCAGTTCTCAATACATAAAAACATAAACATTTGTACAGATGTTTTAACCACAAGTGAATAAATGAGGTGCTTAAAATATGAAACCAATCTTGAAAAACGTGAAGTTGAAATTAGGTTAAATATCCCTTTAAGGTGCAAAATGGCATGAAGAATTTTTTTTAAGGTTTAAACAATAATCAAATCTAAAGTAAATATACTGTGTGGAAAAATAAATGCAGCAACCAACAAGAGTTAAGCTCATGCCATTTAGTTAGAATATAACAAATGACCAGTTCAAACTATGTTAAAGGGACACCTTAGGCATTCACACAACTTCGTCTCATTGAAGTGGTCTATGTGCAGTGTCCCTGTCCCACTTAGTCCTCCAATGTAAATCATTGCAGTTTCTCCAAAACTGCAATGATTACCTTGCAAGACTTTGACTGCCTCTAGTGGCTGTCAATCAGAAAACCAGTAGAGGCACTTCCTGTTGGTTAAACGACTTTTGGTCTCCTAACTGAGACTGTATGTCTTCCGGCTAATTCATTTCCACCATAGAAAATGTACATAAAAAAAGAAAGAGAATATATAAAGTGTAAAACTGTATGACTTAAATATACTTAAAATTAAACAGCCAATACACTCACAAGTAGAGAGCAGGTAATGGTTGACAGACTATAAAGACTCCAAGACAGATTATCCATCAATGTGTGCCATTCTTCTGTTGTTCACCCATAAAAACAAAATGAAGCAATGGTAAGCACATACAATTTATCCTACAAAGCTTTAAAATCCACATGCAAGAACCAAAGTCCCTGTTATCCTTACAATGACAAGTCTGCACTCCAAATCAGCTAAAGACATCCTGCCACAGAAATCGGCATACTGATCGCTCAGAGTTCTCTGTTGCTCTTCCTGGAGGTGGGGCAATATATCCTGAAGTGCATGTAAATTGGAAAAAGATCACTAATATTATGAAGATTGTGGTTATTTATTATTATATGCAATAAATGATCATTAATAATTCTAAGATCTCAAAATTCCCAGATAATTAAATTAATGCCATATATGGTATCAGTTTGTATCTGCTAACACTTTACAGGTTGCTTCCTGCAATAGAGGGAATCCAAAATTCAAAAATTGAGTTACTTACATGTGGCATGTATCACAATGGGAATCAAATAACACTCAACAACAAATTTCTAAATATCAAAAAGGTATATTCAAAGAGGTATGATTCAACAATTAACCCCCAAACTGAGACACACACTTAAAGGGACACTATAGGCACCCAGACCACTTCAGCTCATTGAACTAGTGTGGATGGGCTGTCCCATGTCATCTTAACCATGAGCAGGTAATTACTGCAGTTTTTTTTAAAAACTCCAATAATTGTTTGCTAGGGTTAACGCCACCTCGAGTGGCTGTCTAACAGACAGCCATTTCTGGACTGTTAGGTGACTTTTGACTAACCTAACTATGCGTGGGACATCCAGAGTCACCCAAAACCCTTTAGAAAAGCATTGAATAATGCTTTCCTTTGGTGAAATCGCAATGCAAGCCCAGGCTTTGCTGCGCATGCGCATTAGGTCTGCTCCACCGGCTGAGATCGGCATGGGAGAAGAGAAGGTGGACCCGAGCCAGCACCAAGGGACATAAGCTCTGGACCCAGGTAAGTTACAGAAGGGGTTTTAACCCCATCTGCACCACGGGCGGAGGAGGGGCCTTGACAAAGGGGGAAGCTATAGTGCCAGGAAAACAAGTTTGTTTTCATGGCACTATATTGTATATATTTTATAGTTGTGTAAAATATATATAAATGTTTACTATACTATATACACGTATATATCTATTACCGTATATATTTAACAGATGTCAAAACATATACTTTAACTAGCAATGCTAAAACAGAACTAACATAATCTGAAAATAACTAAACTGCAACAACATCACACTACTATGTACACATCAAACATTGTATAGGAAATAAAAAACAATTTTGCCCTATCCAAGTGTTATCGGAAAAAGATGATTTTAGTTTAATTAAAGCACTAATTAATAATAATAATTTGATTAAACAAAAATTAACTAAACATAATAATACTAACAATAGCAATACAATACGTATATTTATCAGTGCCAAACACAGAACCACTAGACAAAGCTTGTATCTGGTTGTGCTGCCGTGCTGCCGTGCTGCTGTTGTGCTGCAAGATATTCTCTGGTAGTCAGAAAAAAAATGGTTCTGCTCTTCAGCATGTGGCTTCACCTTATAAAGAGACTGAGCATGTGACTCTCATAACCCAATTTCTGTTTGCCATGTTATGGGGAGAAGTCATGCATTCACCATAAAACTACATGACCACAGGGCACAAACAAAGAAAAGTCTCCAGAAAAGGTGCTCACTACTCCCCCCTAGTTGTATAATTCTAGTATGGCACTAATATGTATTAAGTGATATCTAATTAATAAGACCATAATGAACCTGTGTTGATTACAATTGCTCCATATTTAAACCTCATGTGTCTGCGCACAAGGGTATAAATTTAAATAGTTTGTCCTACCTAATGATCAGTGTTATTTCACCATCACATAAAAACTAGATACCTCAAGCACGTACTATCCTAGACAAGAGAGTCTATTACATTTTAATATAATCAACACAATAATGAATTATATATTAAATTGACAAATAACTAATAATAGGGGGAGAAAAAAGGGAATATTATTATCATAGTATACATTATCAAATGACAGATTTTAGGCAAAACAAAATAAATAAAAATGTATTTTCTATATCAAATAAATATTTAAAAAAATATTTTTATTAACAATCAGATTACAGGGTTTTAAAGTGTGCAAATTATTTTGCACTTTATCACATCTGAATATGTTTAATTCACATTAAAACTGTGGATACTAATATATTAATGTCAAAATGAGATGCCATAATTACACGTCTTTTGTAATGGCTCAGTGTCAATATTGAAGAAATATTTCTGAAGATGTCAGCTAACACTCAGAGCCATTTCCGGAGAAAATGCAGTCCATAGTTAAATAACAGGAACCTTTTATTAGAAAAATGTAAAAACTAATGAAAGAAAATATGGGGACTAGGCAGCAAAAGGCAAAAAAAAAAAATATCACAGGGGGAAGGCATAACATTTCAACCTCCTAATGGGGTATTTAAACGTATGTCCTAAGGGCCAGTTAATTGAAGAAAAGTGTTACCATAGGAAACCGAGCACATAGGACAACAAACATCCTTTATTGAAAACCAATTAAACTGAACAAAAAAGGAAAATGAAGAATTAACAAATAAATCAAATGTGAAACATAAACAATAAAAACAAACTTCAAACATAAAAAAAACATCAAAAGACATAACACAAGCCTGAGATAATGCATAATTAGTGGACGTATAAGAAGCAGACCATTCTGCATTGCAAGAACTAAATAGTGAGTTAGAAATCTGAAATACTATACAAATGCAAGCAAAGGTGTCCAAGCAAATAAATACCGTAAAGCGCTGAGGAATAAGTTAGCGCTATATAACTACTAATAATAATAATAACTGTAACAGAAAAATGGGTATCTTTCTTTTTTAACTATTTGAATTAAATGCCATTTTAAAATGTACTATTATTTGTTAGAGGGTTTTAAAAAAAGGAAATTAATCCTTTTAATAAACTCTGTTTTCACTACAACGTCCTGATATTTTATCCTTTTGAATTTGTTTTAATTTTTTTATCTGAAATATGTGTTAACTCCAATTGTCAAATATATTCTTTCTGTACAATATTGTTAAAATAAATCTTCCTCACATGCCATAACATTGTGTTATTATATTTTACAGTGAGAAGTGGATTGAAAAGGAAGATGATCTACGAAGATCTATTAAAGGCATTTTGCCATGTGATTTAAAAAAAATAAAAACCCAACCGAACCTGTCGTGTTGCCAAAAGCAGATTGTGTGATTGACTTGTTTGTGCTGGGTTGCATTTCAAAAGACCTGGACAGTTACCGTCATAATCTAAACATGATATCATCTATGCTTAAATTAGGAGGGTGTCTTTTATTGTTTGGGTCATTTAATGCATCACATTATAAGGTTAATGAGCACAAATATCATATTTAAAATTTCAATGAAGAGAGGCTAAGAACAATTCTGAAAGATTGTGGGTTTTCTATTGAATGAATGGAAATGATAGAAAGCAAAATACGCAGTGATACTCTATATTATCATCATGTTTTTTTTTGCTTGTGCTGTCAAAACCAGAGAGCCTTAAACCTATTAATCTCTAAATAGTTGCATATCAGTGTTCTATGGGGATGTTTGAAAGATTTGCTTTCATAGTTCACACAGGATAAATCAAATTATATTAATTTGCATTAAAGTAAAATAAACGGGGGGCTGAGGACGTAAGGTGGGGTGAGCAAGTAAGGGGGGGCTGAGCAAATAGGGAGGGTGAGCATATAAGGGGTGGGGCTGAGCAAGTACGGCAGTGAGCAAGTAAGGGAGGGCTGAGCAAACAAGGGTGGGGTGAGCAAGAAAGGGGGGCTGAGCAAGAAAGGGGGGCTGAGCAAATAAGGTCTGCACAAGTAAGGCGGAGCAGAGAGCAGAGAGCAGAGCAAGTAAGAAGGGCTGAGCAAATAAGGGTGGGGTGAGCAAGTAAGGGGGGCTGAGCAAATAAGAGGGACTGAGCAAGTAAGGCAGAGCAGAGAGCAGAGCAAGTAAGGGGGCTGAGCAAATAAGGGTGGGGTGAGCAAGTAAGGGGGTTTGAGCAACTAAGGGGGGGCTGAGCAAGTAAGGTGGAGCAAAGAGTAGAGCAAGTAAGGGAGGCTGAGCAA